TGGTAAAAATAATCCTATTCATCTTATGATACTCATAAGATACCGTATGGTACTTAGTGATGTGCTCATGTGTACACCTAAGCTTCTCTTAAAATTTCTTATTAATAATTGTACTGCAATCCGTTTTTTCTATTATTCATTTTATTTTTAATTATGATTTCCATTTGCTTATCGATTGTTTGTTTACTTTAATGAGTATGTTAAATTGTTCATATTTATTTACTACTATAAATTATATTATTCTATTGGGCTTCCAAGCTCGTTAACAAATAAATAAACATATTTATTATATTCTATGATAAAGCAGTACATAAAAAATAGGTGTTTTTAAATAATTGTTTCAAATATTATTGTTACAGGGAGCTTTAGCTTACATTAGATTTTGAATATTTTTGATAAGAATATATAATGAACACATTACACATAACTATATAACGAAGCGCAACCATACTATCTACAGCCGTGGGTTCATCCCATTGAATAATATAAAGAGGCCTTTCCGCATATATCGTTCTGTACAAACAAATTATGAGAAAATTGTTTCTATTTTACAGAATACAGAGTGATTAATTTTTTGGAAAAAAATATTGTAAAGGTCCGATATATAACTTGTACAAGGTATTATTGTAATATGCGAAAATTCATAATTCATTATTTCATTATGATGATGTCATAGAGTAGTACAATTTTATAACAATTATTAACAGTGGGGCCGGTACAAAATAATCTACTCTTGCCACATTATTTTTTTCCTGAAGTATATACCTTGAAAAAAAAACGATTTCCTGATGGCCCCTCTATACTACTCAATAGTCAATTTATGATATGATAAATGTATGATAGACCATGGAGTTTGGATTGTTGAAATGACAAAGGCCCATATTAAATAACAAAATAAGTATCAGAAACATTTATAACGCCTGGTTCTCAGAGAGTAGGCAACTTATTGTTCGATGTGTAGTAGCTGATTGACAAATGACGGGGGCACTCGTTGCACACAATGCGAAGAACAATAATTTCATTTTGAGCTACTCCCACAAGACTGGTGTATTTATCTAATGTAAGTCACTTTTAAATTTCCTGTAAATTCTAGGTAAATTATGCATATCTTATAAGACTACCACCAGTTTTTATCGTGTGAAATGTAAATTATGCCTTCCCCCCATTACTTATCATTTTCTATACATGATATAACTATCGAAAATATTTTGACTCGGTTCAAGTATAGTCTTGGTTGATAAAATTCATCAAAATCTCGACAATTTTCAAATTATTTTTCATAAAATGTAAAAATGTTTATTGTTTTATTTTGAAAACAAGGGTTTTCGTGAGTATTTAATACTGTTACCAAAAACGGTTATGTAAAAACAGTATTTTCAAATAGATGATATATTATTAAGTTCAAAGTTTTACGACATTACAAATTTAAACGGAGATAACAATTTTAATTATTTTTTTGTGATTAAAACAATTATTTGTGAGTACTTGATATTATTAAAGTGCCTATTTAGTATATTATTATACTGTATGACATGCCCGTAATTTTATTTTAAAATGTAGTTTTATCAGCTAACCTACTGCATTATTGATGCCTAATAGTAAAACAAATTACTATAATAACAAAAATATAAAATATTCCGACAGACCATCTTCGCTCAGAATCATTTTTCGTATACATGATTTTATATCATAGAAATCAAATTGAATACGTTCGTTACAGCCAGAGTAGGGTATTATTCGAATAGTTTTTTTATTTAGATAACTATTTAGATGCAATTTTATCCGAATATATATTTCACAATTATTAGAATAAAAGTATATTGAATAATTTTAAAAACTAATATTTAGCTCCATATAAAAATGTATAAATAGATTAGACATTTGGATATTAGATGGCAAATGTTCCATAAAGCTATATAGTTACCTGTTTAATCTTTTAATGTCGATTATCTATATTTTGAAAGCGTAGTTTTATAAAATGTATTTTATACTCTCTTAATCTTAGAATTACTATTAGTTGTTTCGTGTTTCTACGTCAGTCGTTCTTTAATTTTTAAGTACGTATATATGCGTGACAATCGTTGTTTTATTCGAATAATTATAAAAAAAAATCATTGAAATATATATTTATTCGAATAATGATCTAAATAAAATTTTACCCAACTCTGGTTCCAGAGAATTCTATAGGCACTTAACGTACAGCAGAGCGGTACCCACTTGCCTGCATGTGTGGTTTTTTTTTACCGATTAGCGAAATAAATAGAAAAATAAATAAATACTCGTTGGTATCGAAAACCCTAATTCGATCTAAATTAAAAATTAATGGATCTCACTATGAGTCATCAACATTCATTGGTATTTTATTTCACAAAAACGTTGATTGATTTATAATGTTGGAAATATAATTCAATTCGGATATCGTGTTGTTGAATTTTGTGTGGTCAATAAAATAATAATATTTAAATATATTAGTATAATATTGTTTTAGTAACATGATAATAAATATTTTATTTTATAACAATTTATATTTTAGGGACTATTACTACCTACCTACATATATTATTATTTAGTATTTACTATACACATTGAAATTGTCAAAATACCTACTTTAATTAATTGAATGCTAATTATGCCATCGATCGGTATCACCGTACATCGGTGATGACCCAAACATTTAATTAATAACCCCTATCAAAATTTAAAAAAATATATAAATATTATATAGTATATAAAATAAAATATTTTGATAAATTGATTTGTTTGTTGAATTGTTAGATACTTCATTCTAAAGTTTAAAAATAACAGGCACAATAATATTTAACAAATTAATAATCCTTATCAGCGTTTTTTTCTCACCTAATCGTGAATTTTATTGATACTTTTAATATTTTTTAATTGTGCAGTGTAAATTATGAAAAATCCTGAAGAAGTGATTTTATAAATCACGCTAAGATTGCCAGATGATCCTGAAATATCCTGAGTGATTTTAATGATCTGACTTACCTTGAGATCTAGACCAAAATCTATCCCATGTATGAAGTCAATCACAAAAGTACACCAAATTACTTCAACCCAAAAAGTCGGTGTTGTATTTATGACATTTGTACACAGTCCAATTATTAAGTTAGAAGACACCGTGTGTGTGTGTTCAAATACATTCTTTAATAATTTTATTTTAATACAACATAATTATAATTACGTGAGTCACACCTGAGTGCCACAAACATAAGACTATTAAGATACTTTTAATAATTTTTTAAGCAATAAAATCAAAAAAAAATGTATACATTTTTAATTGCTTATAAAATAATTTTCAAATCTTCGTGATTTAAACAAATATTGTTAATGATTGATTGACTCATAAAAAAAAGTCGAGGTTGTATTTTCGATATTTTTAAACTTTATTAAAACTTATGAACAGGAATCTTATAGCTATTAATTTTTCATGATTTTTAACCATGCAAAAAGTGATTTATCTACTTTAATAATTGAGAATTTCACTTGTTATAGAAAATTAAGTAACAGTTAAGGTTTCCATGTTTAATATTTTTAAATTAGAAAATAATTAATAAACTTCGTTTTTTCCTATACAATATAATATCTATCTACAAAAAAATTTTATTTTAAAACAGTCATACAAAATGTATTTTTATTATTTTTTGCTATACATGTTTAAAATCAGAATTAGAAAGAATAAATAGAAAAATGTATTTATCAATTCAGTACTATTGGATGTAGTTAAATTAGTAAATAAAATATTGGTATGTATAATGTATGCTATTAATATGATTTTCAAAAATATTTTGCCACACCCTTAAATATCATGTGAGTCATTAACTCAGACAATGGTCAATGACCCAATGTTATAGTCTATAGACAATAATGTCATTTATTTTTAGATGAATCTTTACGAATGTTGAGTTTGTAGTAGTAATAATAAAATTATATTATAAAGTTATGCCAGTATAGGTCAAAAGATTTATATATTTTACACGTTAAGCTGATAAAATTGTAAGGCTTTAAATGGACACATTCTAAATTGATATAATGTAAAAGATAAAATCACAACTCTTCTTTAAAATATAATAACCAAGGCCGTTTTCGAAGTATTAATTTTGGAGATTAAGGTGTCTTTAATAAGGAGAAATATTTAAGTAATACGCAATTTTGTTATACCGGTGCTTATGGAATTTGTGTTAGTCGTAAATTATGATTAGTGTGATTGTGGCTTTATTCGAGTACCAGAATATCTAAGCACTCGCTGCATTCGTACACATATTATGTCAACGGCACCACCGAACAAAATGAAAAGAGTGACTTTTTGGTCAAAACATGCTTTACAAAAAAAACTGTCACTTAGAGTGGTCTGAATTCATTATATTTTAATTTTTTTATAAAGTGGATGATTTCTGCTTGACGCATTATGTTTCAATTTTTAATTAAGTTGCTTAGTAAAAAAAATAATTAAAAAAACAAAAGCTTATAAAAATTGGTCATATTCAAAATCATATAATATGTTTTGGAAATAGACTTTTGTTCTCTAGAAGAGTTGTTGTGTTATCTTTACATTTTTTAGAATCAAAAGTGGTATTGTCAAAACCTCAAAATTATGTCACAATTAAATGCTAATGCGTTTCCAAAGACGAGAAAAAACTGGATATTATATATATATAAAGCAAAATAATAGTGTACTTGAGACGTTCCTCAAATATAAAAATAATATGCTGTCGGCTGTTACACTTGTACCACACATTACGTTGATTTACTTTTCATTCATAAACGTGTCGTGACTATTTAATGAGTTGCCTATACATTACTCCTTGAGAAGATGACCGGCATGAAATACCTCGATAATAGGTAATAATTTTATTACAATACTGTACAATATAATAATAAGAATATTATAGAGGCAGTAGAAGCAGACAGCAGTAGAGTATTAGTCCGTCTGAACTGGTCAGAGTGGACGTAAGGACATGGAAAGAAAGCAATTAATACAAAAGTGTGTATCGCCCGAACGTTTATTTATACGAAAACAGTAATTATATAAAAACGAACGATACGTGGTGACAACTGTAGTCGCACCTAAATTTAGTGAACCGAAATACATTAGCAATAAAATGTAAGACGAAAAAAAAATAATAAACTTAAAATATATATTATGTATGTATAATATAATATAAATATAGTATTATTGAAATACAGGGAATGATGGTGATGAAAAACGATTATGGATTGAAGGACGGGGGCGGAGTGAAAGATAAGACGCACGTCGTCTACGATTGTAACGAAGAAGTTCTAAAACATTTTTATGCCCGGCATCGACGGAAACTTGTTTGACTCGGGCATTATAATTATGAATAATTATAGGCATGAGAAAAAGAAACTGAAAATTTTTTTGCTTAGCTATAACCGTAGACCTTAGAATTACTCATAAACGAGCCTTGCTTGTTTTTATAACATAACACCAAAGAAGGATGTCACTAATTAGTTACTGAGTGACTACTGATGCACTCACGGAATTAAATATTAAATTGTTATGGTTTAAACTGTCTCCAGCGCCCTCTATCAAGGATCCGATTTTAATTCTAAGGGCCCGGTCAATGAGTATTAAGTACAATTATTGTCGGATACATATCATGATATTATGTATTTTAAAGGATGGCGTCTGTCGCTTATCCCGGGGTGGTGGGGAGGTATGGGGATGATCACATGGAGGGATGGTGATTTTGGTGAAGTTGGCGATGGTGACATTTAGAGTTGGAGGCCGGGGTTGGTGGCTGCCACGTAGCTGAGTAGCTCGTCACTGTCCTCGCACACGAACGGCTTCTCGTGATAGCAACCGATGTCGTGCCACGCAATGCCGTCGCCGTATACGTTGTTGAGCACACTCAGACACGACTCCACTGTGCCGTTGATGTCGAACTCAGCGTTGTCCGGCTGTGGTGTCTTCTTGTGTCCACTCTTGCTCCATGGGCTGTACGTCCAGCCAGTTGGTGTCTGGTTGGTAGCCGGTATCTTGCCGCGGGTGGCCGACCAGAACCATCCGTTCACGGTCTTCGGCTCAAGGTCCGACCGGTTCTCGCAACCCTTGAAGTCGCACAGACGTCCGCTGGTCCATATGTACGGAGCGTCGTCTGCGAAACACCGAAAAATAATAAAATAATATTATGATATTAGTGCTGAGTACCTGGGTCGCATAAACAATCACTATATACATTTAATGAATCCAAATCATATCACAGATTATATATAATATGTAATCTGTAACCTATAACCTGTGATCACATTGAGAGTTCATGGCTTCTTAAACACGATTTACTTCATTAAATTTTAGTGAATCAATTTTTTTATGCAACCCAGCATGTGTACAGTATTATAACGCGTATACCACAATATCGTATATTATATTATGTCAACTGAAAACATCGACATCATATTATTACTATTATTATTATCATTGTCATGGCCGGGTTGAACGCAGTTGTACATGCTACCTGATGTAACTATAGTTCTATAGTCAGTAAAAATTAACTATTGGGCGTTTACAACCATTGAATTGTTAAATATTTTGAAGACAATTGTTAATAATGATTGATTAGTGATTTATTACATATATAGTTAGTCAATTATTATTTGTAACTTATAAATGGATAATATCACATCAGTTTTACTATATGATATTTATATTATTTTCATTACATGAATTTTTTGATAATATTTGCTAGAACACATTGTTACATGTTTTCATCCAGTCATCCAGATTAATTGATGGTCATACAAATTACAAACGCACTGTCTCAGCGGCCCGAAAGTAACGCTTAACACACCACTTAATGAGCAGTCAAATACATTTTGCTCAAAGTCCCGATATAGTTCACCAAGACGATAGTTATAGGTTAAGTGTGATTATTCTTCGCAAGTTGAATGCGTACATATTAATTATTATATATTATAAACATGGATCAAAATTGACTAGCGAGTAGTGCTCGTAAAAATCGAGATTTCACACAACTTGCTGTTATGAAATCAAAAACTTTAAGAAACTACCTAAACAGTACAGACCCTGTATAATGTAATCGTGTTTGTCATATACAAAATACTAAGTTATCTTCTGCCTTACGGTAAAAGTCTATGATATAACACGGCCAATGTGATATTTGAGTGTGAAGTAAATTATCATCAGTGTGACGGATGATTTCTCTCCGTTAGATATTGCACATAATTGTATGTACATTTTGACCTCTAATCGTCACACTGCATTTCCTCGACCAAACCAAAAACAGATTTTAATTATACATTAAAATATTGAAACTTTAAATTGACCCTCATGTATTTTTCTTACTCGTTTTATTTTTAGTAAAATGTTTAGGACATTGCTAAATAGTTGTAAATAATTATACATCTAAATCACATTATTAAAATGTAATTGAATTACAACATGAAATCTAAATTTGTTACAAGTCAAACTACAATTTTCAAGAAGAAATTATAAGGAATTTTAATATATTTACTTTCAAATGTGTTATAAAAATATTGTTTCACTGGAATGAAATAAAAGCCTGAATAGTTTTCATTTACATTAGTTTAGTAGGTACCTATAATAATATAACAGTAAAAAAAAAATATATAATAATAATATCATATAACACATTATAATAATGACAGGCCACCAGAAATCAATGGACTTAATATTTATTTGTACAACTAATATATTAAATTGGCTGACATACATAATTTATTGAAGACAAAATAAAGATAGTAGAGGCTTTCCAGTGATAGGGCCCTAATTCATTACAGCTAGAGCCAAAATTAAAAATAAAACTTAATTCGTCCCCTTATTCTTATTCTTACTTACTCGGAATCATAGGTATTTTTAAATTTATTTTTTGTTAAAACTTATTACGCCAAGAATGAATAACAAAAACACGTGTACCTATAGAGTTGTGAAAAACAAAATTGTCTATTTCCATTGATTGTGACACCAACCACTTCAATACTATATAATTAAATCATGTATAAATTATTCACACTTAATTTATATCTATATTATGAATTTATGAATAATATTAAGAAATAACATTATTAGCTATTTCAAATAGCTTTTCTTGGAGGGGTTTGTAAATTTTCATTGACTTCAATTTTGTCAGTTAACCCTTTGAAAGATTTCCAAAAGATTTTGAAAATAATAAACTTTAACAAAAAAAAGTTATTATGTCATTACTATGAAAAATCACAACGTGGGTTAGGTGCCAACCTAATTCAATTTTTGATTGAGTAACGTTTTCTTAATGTACTTTCCTGTTAGATAAAAGGACAAGGAGAAACCGACTAAATGTAGTGAACTAAAATGTTTCTAAAACTGTTTTGGCGTATAATACGAAACGTAATTAGGACTGTTTGTTAAACGTAAGAAAAATTTCACATTATACTGAGTTTATAAAGGAAGCACGTGCCATGAAATATGATATTATTATATGTGAGAGAAACTGTTTTGACAATAGGTAATAGCTTATAGGTATAAGTAGGTACGTTTGATAATAACACAACATCTTTAAAATAGTAAAATTAAATAATCATTTTGCAATGGTTTTTTTTCAACAGCACGGGGGGGGGGGGTAATGGTTCTACTAACTACGAATCTAATTACATAAAAAAAACTACCATGTTTAATGTATTTACAGATTAAGCTACTACTTATAACAAAGGTACCTCGCTCTTTTCCGTCAGTTACAAATTATATTATATGTTATAATAAGCACACGCGTATCCAACTATGAAATTATTATTAGATATTACGTAGTATTAGTGCTTATTATCACTCTTTTATATTCCTTTATTCAATTTATTTACTTTTAGTCACCTATCGTGAAGGCCGTCGGAAAACTTTAAAAAATATAGCAGTATTTAATAAGTATTACACACTTTCTGAACCAAACACTGAAAATACTTTTTTTTGTTTATTAAAACTAGCTGGTGAATTATATTACACTGGATTGTGGTAACGTGCCAAATCATTCTCACGAAATTGCGGCAGGTTGTTAATTAGACGAACAAGTATAGGTGTACTTATATAATAATACATTAATAATTATATTTAAGCCATTTTGAGTCAGATCGGGCTGGATTTACTCGAAACAAAATTCCCGATCTTGTCGGAATATCAATGGCTGAGTAGCCTTGAAAAATAAAACAATGATCATAATATAGGTTAGGTTTTTGCAATAGAAAGACATAGAAAAAGACATGGTACAAAACAATAACTTCAGATATAAATTTGGAGTTGGCCAGTGAGAATATATTATGAAAGTAACGCCCTTGTCTTAAATTTTGATATTCATTAATCAGGTCTCGTAAAAAAACGCTTCACAGTCATTATACATCATATTATTATGTATTTTTTATTTTTAGTTCGAAATTTTGATAGACGTTACTTATCAAAGTACAAACTACCAAGTGTATTATATAAAAAAAAATAGTTACTCAACATGTTCATAAAATATAAAAATTAATTAATAGGTGCTCGAGTTGAAGAAAATATGTACACTAAATAAGCAAGGCCTAATGGTCAATAGTATAATATTTCATCATATAGTGTCATTTTTTAAAATTTATCTATAATCCATGCTAAATATAAAATTATAATTATGAATTATAAAGTTGTAGAGTCTTTTTACGAACCACACTGATAATAATAATGAACAATCGTCGTTTTACTTATATTTCAGATAATAATATTAGAATTAGGCACTCACTTTGTTGGATCAGTCGGAAAATGAGATTGTTTTCTTCTTGAGTTTCAATTGATACAAGGTCCATACAGTATTCTCGGCAAATATTTCTTGCTTCCAACCAATCGACTTTGGATGTTTTGTACTGTTGAGTGTGGCCACTGTAGAAGTAATTGCGTCCTTTGTACGTAAATTCTTTCGGTCCTGGAAACAATAAAAAATATCACGTGATTATAGAAAATATGATTACGTTTTTTTTTTATTGTAAATAAACAAAATTGCTGTTGGATTACAAAATACAATATGATATTATGCTGATATTATTCTCGATGTATATTTAAAAAAAAAAAACATTTAAAAACGATGGTAATAATTACCATTTGTTTATTTAACATGACCTAATCTAACATAGTAACATGTTAATGCAACGAAACACTGGAAAAATGAACAAAGAAAAATTGAATTCAATAAAAGCAATTATTCTAAATGATGACATGTCATTGAATTAAATTTTGTACACAGTATGTATGTCATCTCATTTATTATCAAATATTCAAAAGGTGACTTAATCATCTAGGTTGACGATGAACGCTCTTTTTGGGGCTATAATAAGGCAATTTCGGAATCAAAATTTTTCAAACGTCGGAAAATCTTCAAATCTAAGCAGTTTTGTTTTTTCTTAAATAAATATTTTGACAAAAACGGCCAAATGCCCCCACACGAATGTTAACGAATTTTGTCTATTTTCATTACATAAAAATCCTTGCTCAACAGCTATTATTACGAATAAACACGGTCGCCGTTGGCAACGCAGAAAAATAAAATATTCGACGCGACTTGTTATATTACTTGCCGGAGCCGTTCACGAGATGGGCAACGTTGTGGTAAGGCCGACATCACCGTCATTGTCGGACGCCGACAGCAACGCAGACAACGACTCGATCGCGTCGTCCTCCGAAGTCGTGCCGCTGTCTGCGCAAGTCAACAACGACGACGAAGACGACGACGACGACGACGGCGAAGACTACGACGATGACGGCGATCAGTCGGTCGTCGAAAATCGAACGAACGCTCCAAGCCGGACAAATCGACAGCAGCGGACGACTGCAGGTCGGCCAAAGACCGTCGCGAAGCGGAACAGACCAACTGCGGCCGCGAACGAAGACGGCCGCGGCGATACCGACCAACCATCGTGGTCGGTCGTGGTTGACGAAAACGCGGTAGCGTCATCGTCGCCGACCGAGGGTCGTCGGACACGGCCAAGCCGACCACCGCAAGTCCGAGACCGGTCGCGGTCGACGTGTTCGCGGTTGTCGTCTTCTCGGACACGCCACCGCAGCCAAAGCAGAGTCGGACGTCGCAGTCGTCGTCGGTCGGCCGACCCGGCAGAGCCCGTCGTCGTGATTGCGGCGGAGGAACGAGCCTCGGTTGCCAAACCCCAGTCGCGCCCTCGCAGGTCCAAAAGAACAACGGCCGGCCAGAGGAGGAGGAGGAGTTAGTATAACAGAGACCGTTATGAATGATTTTTTAAAATATCTAAAAAAAAGCTATTCATACCGACTGTGAACGATACCGAGCGTGGGTCTAAAATATATAATATACGGCAAGGGAACAACATCGAATTTAAGTAAAATATTTGAATATTTTTCATAGTCATGGACTAAATATTAAATATATGTATAAATTATAATACGTTTTAAATTGGTTTGATTCTTAGTTTCCATTGTCTTTCGATAAACGAAACAAAATTTACTTTTCGAATACCATACTATATCAGACCATGTTAGATACAATATAGGATATCAATGTAACATATTATTTTAAATAAATTTAAAAATTTAAAAATTTAAAATTTAATTACACAACCAACAATATTTATGTATTTTTTAACATTACATTCGTACGATTTTTAAACAACACAGGTCATATTCTACTATTGTATGATAAAACAACGTGTGTCACGAAAGGCTCTCTCTCACCACTAATCAATGTATGGCAATACGTGGTTTCCATGCAATCTGCGACCAGGTCAGACATCAGTTGTTAACATATTTATACCTTTGCGTGTTTATACGTAGTCCAGAGCGAGTGTTACACTCCCAATTGTTATTAATATTGTGTAATATTACTATTTAACGTGGCCGACTTACTTTGACTACATTTCTGAGCGACAGGCAGGCTGAGGAAACGACCAGGCTTCTGTGTGACGGGGTTGTTGGTTTTCACCTCGCTGATGGCAGCCAAGCAGCTTGTCACCGTCAGCGCCAAGGCGAAAAATCCAAAAGACATGGTTCCAGTCATCTGTGACAAAAGAAAAAAACGGTTAAGTTCAGGAATTGACGTAAAAACTGCATTGAAATGCATACCTCCCGACAAAGCCCTACGCTAAAGAACCATATCATATTAGTATTTTTGTAACTTTTAGATTTACATAAGCATACTTCTAACTCGATTACTAAAGCTTACCAACTATACTTGGTGTCCTGTGTTCTGCTTATTATAAAATAAAAAATATAATTCATTTTTCAGTGATTTTGAAATTAATATACAAGGTGTAACGATCAGACAAATAAAATAACTTGTTTTAACCAACATTAACATTTTTTTATATATACAATAAATACAATTACTCTTTAAATATGTTTTGAAAAATTAAAAATAGCCAAATTATAAATCTTAATGTTAGAAAAATGTTGATGTTAAAACCATTAAAAATTATAATACAGTCTAACAACAATTTAAGTAAATTTAAGTAAAAATAAATATAATGACTAGGTAGGTCATGATGTACAGAAAACAATTTGTTTTATATTTTCCTAAAATCTGTAAATGCATATCTAAAGTACCTAATTATTTTAATGTCGTTTTTATGTATAAAATAAAATAAAATATCATGTGTTTAAATATTTATTTTAAAATGATTTAATTTACCTAAATGCATGTTTCATTTTTAAACAGTATTTTGTTAAGATAAGCTGTGATTTAAAGATACAACGTCTCATCTTGCAAAATTTTATCATAATTTTATCATGATTTCATATTATGTGTAAAATTGTAATACATAATATTATTTATTAATAATACTATGAAAGTCAAATTATACAGTTAAATATTGTAATCATCCGCGAGTCTGAAATTATGTGTAATAATCAATAATGTTTAGGTACATTGTACAATGTATATTGTATATGAATTATACCGCAATTTTAAAGGCAATTTTAAAATTAAATAGCTACACATCTATCTATTTTATAAAATAATTCTTTTTGTAAAGAAATTGTATAAACAAAATTTAGAAAAATCAACAACACTATTCATATGGCACCTGTGTTATTGCACATTATTAATGGTAAGTACTAACGTATTATCGTATAATCGAAATCCTAACGAATCTAATCTAATCTATATCTACATAATATAAAAAAATTTTTAACGTATACACAGTTAAGTATACGTTAACTAATTGACACGATGATAAGAAATAAGAATAAAAAATAAGAATAGACAGAACAAATCTAATAATCTTATAATAATATATAATATGCAGAGTGGTTGTTTTCTCATGAATCACACATTATTTCATAAAGTATGCTAGTAATGTTCTCTTAAATATTTTTTTATATAGTTTCAAGTTGTTACAAACCGATAGTTTGAAAAAAACATTTTTTATCCTTCTATTTTTAAAATTTTTGAATAACGACATGCAGTTTTAATTTGATCTTCGAAAACTGAATATTTTTTTGAGTATTTCGATACTTAAAAATCAAATTTAAGAATAATATTTTATGAAAGTTGTACGCAGGCATTTGAAGCCTTGATGAGCGGAGTAAAGTGGTACGCGGTTACCCATCAAAATGTTGGTCCATTAGAATTCCGCTCATCCAAACACTAATTACTTATAACTCATATAAACTACTATTCCTGAATATTTGACTTTAACACAATACCGTAAAACCGCATAGGCCTTACAATTATGACTATTCGCTGTGCAAACCACCGACATAATATTATAATAATAGAGATTAGAGACGTAGTAAGTAGGTAGTGACAATATCAGCAGTTTGTGCCGACTCGAACAAATGGATTTTACTGCAAATGCGTAATGGATTTCGAAACGATTCGGCTCGCTGTAATCATCGATATTTTATTGCGCGCGATGTATCGTTGACACCAGCTATACATTACATTACGATTTTTTTTTTATGTTTCATGCGGCCGATCGACAGAGTCGGGCCGCGTCGCACACGTAGGTGCCTAGGTATATACCTAGGTCATCCAGGTATATACCTATATTATAATAGCTGCATAATAACAATTTTATAATAATCGGATAGAGTGCAAACACGCATCGCTGCGGCTCCATCGTCGTCCGTCGGATTTGCCGAGTTGAAAGGCCGTTTTCGCAGCCCGACCGCAATGTTATGCCTATATTATTATAATGATACCATGTACCTACCTACCTACCTACCTACCTCTACCTATAACCTCTAACACACGGTGTACACGGCGGGCATCGAAAGCGTATCTCATTAGCCGTGCACTCTACGCCCGCGGTTGCGCAACGCGGCGCACATTATTATATTATAATATTATAATATTATGTATACGGGCAAGGAACGACATGATACTCGGTTCCCGGTTTGTGTAAACGTGTTCACTTGTAAACGTTTGTAAACGTGTGTAACCATTGTTGCCGGCAGAATATACCTATACAATATATACCTACATACTACCTAATACCTATTAGCCGCCGAGAAATCTGTTCAATCGGATTGGTCGTCGCCGATAAAAATGTTGCGTTTTTTAATGGAACCACCGTTACACAATACCCGAGTACCAGAATTAAGAGCATACGTTATAGAACTTAATAATATTATGTACGGAGTGATTCTATTACTACCAAACCATTCATTTTATCGGCAAATGAATATATGTTTTTAAAAACATTTCTTTTTTTTTACGTAATATTATTTGAGGACATTCCGAATTTCCAACACAACAATTGTGAAAAAAAAATTATGTTCGTTTTTACGTCGGTGTACCTATGACAAATTAGTAATTTTTTAAAGTGCAAAAGTGTTAAAGTGTTGATAATATCGGACAAGTGCACCAATATTTTTAATGTTACCTCTTGTGCCATTTTGTCATTACACTGTAGGTATTGCTCACGAGTTACGACTTATGAGACGCACATTTATGAGTATGAATAATTGACTACTGGTTAGGTATTCGATTTGAATTATTTACACATCTTGAAAATCTCAGAAAAATGCAATATGAAATAAACAGTGTGCGTTGTTATTTGAAAGTTAAAATTTTTGTAAAAATGTATGGTTAAGATCAAAATGATAAAAATATAATTTACAATGTGGTTCATTTGACTTTTTCTATGAATGCCTATGACATAAAACTATTTAATTTTATCGTGTTTATAAAAATTTTATTATCATACAAGATTTATGGCTTGTTGCATAGCTTTTTTCACCATCATAAACACATTTAGAATCCTTCATAAGTGTTCATTATGTTGTATGCTTGTATTGTTATTTGTTGTTATAATGTAATACCATTACAAATGTCAAACGAAACGTCACACGATTAATTTTTTTTAAATAATCAACTTATTGTTAGCATTTTAAATTCCATTCCGAAAACCAATATTAGTCGAAGTTATCAATATACTTCGAGGCAAGTATTTCGATACAGGTATTACGTAGTACATTATACGAGTACATACTTTCAGTATTAAAAGAATTTGAAACAATCTAAATAAAAACTACTTACACTCCTATAGGGTCCTGCAGAGAATATATTTAATGTAATTGTTCAACAATTGATTTTCATAGCTGGTTAACGTTTTATTCAAATATATATTTCTTATTATAGTACCTAGGTATAAATTTATAACACAATATGAAAGGCGTGATATTTAATTTCTCTGCGAGTTATTAAGTACGACGGCTGTTAGACTAATACGTACTACGTTGAGGTAATTTGATTAATATTATATTTGCGGTAACTGCGAAATGACAATTATTAAAAGTTTCTATAAACCGAAAGTCTTTCGCCATTTTTACATATTGTATACATAACACGCATTGTACTATTATAATTTGTAATATACTTATTATATTGTCAGTTATATATCCTATAGCCGCCTAGGTATTAATTCTTGCTTTGTTACGAATATAATTAATCATAATGTCCTATTATCTATCTGACTTGTGTAACAATAAATTAACATACTGCATGTGTGATTCATAAACCCTTTTCATCTGTATGCTATATTTTGTACTTTGAATTTCTATATTCGAATAAGCAGCTCAAAAACTATTCAGAATATTAAGAAAAAGGGTTCTAATCTAATTGTTTACCTCTATGCCTTGTATCATAAATTTTAATTTTATTTATCCTCTCAACATAACTAAATGTAACAGACAATTGGATTAAAACTTTACACAAGCAAAACTTATTTTGTACCTTTACTTAATATGAGATATAGATGTGTAATAAAATAGCACTTATTCGCATAGGTAAAACATAATTTGATAAAGTGTAAAATATTAAAAACAATATGTTGAGTGATGGACTATATTATTTTTACACGCATCTGGAGATAATAACCTTTTTTTTTAACACGAAGTTGAATTATTATTCATGTTAAGATGAGAAGTTAATTGTTTTACACGTGTGAAAAAATACAAAACAAATAATAATCAGAATACTTTTTTTGAATAATTCATCTTACATGTATTCGAATAATGAAAAAGTATTGAATACCCAAAAGTTATAATAGCTACAAGTCTACGAATACCTACTGTGGATTTATAAAATCTAAATAAATGATCCATTGCTTAAGAGATTGCTGGTTAAATGTTTAAATAAAAGTACGGTAGTAATAATACTACCTTATCCATATTAAAATGCATACACCTACTTAACGTGTTTCGTATTACACCAACGTTTTCATTACGTATGTAATCATTACATAGGCATAGTATATTATGACACAGTGTAACTCAAAATAAATTCACATGATGGGAAGAAATCTTATAAGTTTAAAAATTGTAAAATAAATGTAGAATACATAATTTAAATATTTTTACATGATCATTGTCTAATGGGTGTTACCTAATACCACCTAAGCACCTATTTAAACAAAATCATGTGTTATTATTATTAACTACATTTTAAATAAACAACGCTATTTACAATTTTAAAGTAAATAGTATGTAGGTACTCGCCTAGCGATATAATTTTCTATTTTTTCTTAGGTCTATCAACATAATTTCTTTTATACACCAATATGACTTTTATAATATTATATTTCAATAGGTCTATTTTTTGTTTGCTCGTTTAATATTATGATTTAGAACACTCACTAAAAGTAGTTAACATTTTTACGTAAAGGTGTACGTTACATAATTGTATACATATTATTATAAACCGTTGTTAAATCGAATTAATTTAAAAATTAAATTTTGAATCTTGAAATAACAATAATTGTATTTTATATTTAACGCTTTTAAATATACAATATAGTACCTACTGCTATTGATTAACAAAGGTAATAACAAAAATGTTTATTCAACTTAAATGTTTACATCATCAAAATTGAGATATGGAAGTATACAAAAAAAATTTCAAAAATATAGTCATGGCAGATATTTTTAAGCTAAATGCTTACTGGAGACTTCTATAGATTTTTGTTTCGGTAAAATACACCATAAAATTGTAATAAAAAACATAAACATTTTTTTTTTTGTTAAAATAATAAATTTCTATGTATATAGGTAATATAATATACACAGCAAAATTATAGATAAAATAAGCACAATCTATTGCTCCGAAGTAAGGCGGACTTACCTATTTTAAACGATTTAAACTTTAATTTATGTGTAAAAAAAATCACAAAATAATACAAAATCATTATTATGAACGATGGTGTGCATATATTTACCTTGATACGTGGATGATTCAATGGGCGATACTACTTGCACAGGCAAGAACACTATGGAGACGAAACACGACCAGGGAATGTCCAAACGATAGTCAACGTCTCCGCAGTGCTGCGAGTACTATTTATAGAAGTGGCTGCGCCAGTGACCATTTACTTCGCGAGTCCTTCGGGCAGTGGGAGTCGGGTAAGTTCACGCATTGTCTGACCTTAAAGCAGATCAAAGTGGTGTATTCTTCACGAGACGACCTTGATAACAACACAACGCCGTGTCCGAAACCCAAACCTAATCACTTTCACTGTGTACATCACCTATTCAAAAAAAAAAATAAAGCAGGTGGATCATCGTTGTCCGAATTATTTTTGCTGCAGCCACATGATCGTAGTTCGTAATTTATAATATATTTATGTATGTAATATGTGTGTGTGTGTGTGTGTGTGTGTGTGTGTGTTATTACCACCAGTACACAAGTAACAACGAATATTATTACCATTAAAATGTGAAGAATAAATAAATTGTAAAACTAAAATCAAATATGTTATGATGTACATTATTCGGCGTAAACAAATATTTGTGAATACTTGGTAAGTTCGAGAGCACTCGCGGGACTAGGAACAGGTTTTATACGACGCATCAACAAAACATTTCAATGTGAAAAATGACGAGTTTTTTTAACTTTTCAAAGAAATTTTGTATTTGTGACGACGTAAAAAGTCCGGTTTCCCAATCCTACATGATTTTTATTTTATATTTTGATCAAATATCACCAAATTTATTTAAATGTGTAACCATTAATCATTAAATCACTTATTTACCTAGTATCCTAACATTATCGTTAAAAGTATTTTTTGCTGTATATACTTGTACATTCCTTAATGATTAATTATAATACTATTCAATAATAATTTTTTGTAAATGTAGGTTTTTTGAATTTATCTAATGCTTTATTGCTTTAGCTATCACCAGGGAAATATTGAAAGTGTCAGCTTTCAGTTTCTTAAAGACATTGTTGAATTCATTTTATATCATTGTTTCCTATTGTGGACAGTATAGTATAGTAATATTATATTAGTTTCTCTTTTTTGTTGTCCGTTCATCAGAGGCTCAGCCTATCAACATTTAACACTGTTCAATAAAAAGACTCTGATACCATGCACATGGACTACCAAAAATATACGGAAGAGAAATCTCGTATTTCATCGTTTATTCTGGCAGATAACTACCTAATAAATATAATAATATATTGGACGACCATATAGATACTTATTATTATATTACTGCTTTGTTGGCAAACAAATAACAAACAGTCCACAAAAGTCGAAAACAAAATCAAAATCTAATATTGCCTACCTATAAGTTACATTGTACAAATATATTTAACAATTAATGAATGACTGTATTTTGTATGAAATACCATAGAATACTAAAATCATTTTTGGCTCTTGTTTAACTTCTATATTAAATCTAATACAATTATAAGTAACACTCCTGGGAATCGTTTTTATGTTAATTGGTTTCAATAGCTCCAATTTTAGTTTCGTTGGAATAATAAAATAAGGTACTCTCTGAACTAGTATTTCAATAAATAAATACATGATAATACTTTAATAATTAATAGCACATCTCGATGTATCATACATGCATACATATACAATATACATGTCGTATAAACTTACAACATGCCTATACATACATAATGTAATATCTTACATATAACTAAATAACTGTGTACAGACTTCGATGGTAAGAAAAAAGCTCAACGTTTAAACCATCAATTTCAAAATAATTAGAAAATATTTTTCATCACAAGCGATGTTTACAATATTAAAAAAAGTATAGCAGATTATAAATCAATAGATATATAGGATTATAAAAAAAGAAAACCTAATATAAGTTTTTATCTTTATTGTATGAATATAAAAAAACGGAAAACGTTTGCACAACATTCTGCAGTAACCAGTATTCATAAAAATCGATTGCATTGATAATATTTTTGATGTTAAAATGCATTATATAACACGCAAACATCATTACAATAATATATGATGTAGCGTTAAGGGTTCGATAGAACGGGTTGAGAAACATTCTTAGGTAGGTATTTAACATTAAACAAAATAACATGTTCCGTTGAGGACTATGTAGAGACTACCTCTAAAGTATGTTTTAAACAAAATAAAAATAATATTATTATCTTTCTCGAGGTCATTTACTTCAATAGTCTTGACTTATGGGCCGTATTGCTTAACGAAAACTAACCGTAAGTCCCGGTTCATCTGCTCGATGGATCGACAATCTCCATTCGACTATATGATGGCTGAAGGTTATGACGAAAAAAATAGAAGTCATGAACGTTGGGAAGTCAAGACTGTTAAATCCTATGCAACAAAAAAAAGTATTCTTCTTCTCGAAACTCCCAGTTATAGAATATTATATATATTTACTAGACTACCTATAAGTCTTCTGTGATCTAGAATATTAGTTTTATGTGGTAACACTGAAAAAATGCATTAATGTATAGCATGATTTGGAACTTTCGTATACAGATCTATTTAAAACGTTTATACATATTTTGTATAATTATTGGACATTTTAGATCACATTATATAAATTATTATTCTAAATTTGTTTCGCCTCGTACTGGGAGCTTTTTCACCATTCCTGGTTGTGTATAAAAACATTAACTGTTAATTGGAGTTCAGTTATTAAATAAAATATTTTTCTGAACATATAAGTATAAAAAAAATATTGTTAATTATTTATATCTAATTGGGTTACTTTCTTAGATGAATATCTAAAAAAATGTAGACATTTGTATTATCGTATCAGAAATTCAATTTTTAACCTTAAAAATTATTTAATCTACAAATATTTAGTAAAATATTAGAAATCTACCTCAATCTACCTGTGTTTATTCAACAAAAAAAAATATTTTAATTTTTAATTTACCCCGCTCTTCAGAAGTACGTGTTTTTTTTTTATAATAATTGTATAATATGTTATAATTTTAAAGCTGGAATAAGTTGAGGGTGACACAATAATATAGGTTAAAAGTAAAAAAATGCAACATAATGTTTAAAAAATACAAGAAAAAAATTTGATACCATGCTAATAACTTTGAGAAAAAAGACTCATCTTAAAATTGAATTACGAAATGAGACCCACACAGGCAATATGATACTATTATATTATGTAATATGCAAGTTTTATGATTTTCACATAATAAAATATTTAATGCTTTTAAAAAAAAAATTATTTAGAGTTGTTCACAGTTTATTGTGACTTCACTGTTTGCCCAACTGGTGTAATATCGTATGAACTAAATTAAATCTGTACATAAAATAAAGGAATACAAAAACCATTTAAAATAGGCCATGTCCCACGTACTCGTATATTTGCACAGACAAAATATATTTATGTACTTACGATTAGTTCATTCAATTGTGTCTGAAACTATGAAAACAATCAAATATTATAAGTCAATAATAATTAATAATAATTCAGATTAAAAATTGCCCTAAAAACCTATAATATATATATGTCTAAAATTAAACTATTTAAAACTGACTGTATTTTATAATAATTTTTTTTTTTTATTCATAAGATGTAACCAATCAACTTGTAGCTCACCGCAGTTCACTCAAAGTAGTGTAATATAATGGCTAGATGTTCGCTAGATGTGGTCATTGGTAAATTGCAATATCTTTCATATTTTATACTTATATTGTGTTTCGCTAAACTTGAGAGTGCAGTAAGAGATATATGAGATATATGTGACTATGCAAGTACTTACAGAAAACATTTAATAATAATTGCAGATTTAACATTTATACAGAATATCTATATTATTAGGTGAATGCAAAATACCTACATAAATTATCCATCATATATATAACCTAAAGTATGATCGAGTAAACGCCAAAATAAAATTATAATGTCGATATCGACGTATTATTTACAAATCGTAAACATGTTTACCGAGTTTGAAGAAATATTCAAGTTTTATGCACCTTGGCATAGTTAACTGGGCATGATATAATATAATACTCGTGGCATATGGATACCTACCTCACACGCGAACTTGACACTATAGGGCATATATATTATCCATCCTGAAATTGTCGTGAACTTCTTTTCATTATTTCCGGAGGTACCTATTACATTAAAAACGTGAACCTGCAGCTGAAATTACACGCATTATATGGACTTTTTCTATTTGATTGTAGAATTCGATAATACCTGTAATTATTCTTATAGATACCCACTGCAGGCTACCGTGTTACCTATATAATTAATACAAAAAAGACCTTTTTAAAAACTTCTTTACGTGTTGAGGCCATTTAAATGGTAAAACAGTGTCTGTATCTTAAAAAAAAAAACATAATTTATCTGAATACGTATTATTAGTTATTATACACTATTGAATTATATTATTTTGGTTGAAAAATTGTACTGGTATTTGGTAATAACTAACAGAATAGTTAGATAGTATATCTACTATAATAGTATATAAACCTAATATAATATTTTGCACCATATGAACGTGCAAATATATTGGCAGTGGACCTACTTGATTGAATACATATTAAAAAAAAAGTATCGCTACTTATGATAAATATAATAATTCATTAATTCGTATGATGTATGTGATGACCAGGGCTGACAAGTTCAGAAATTTGCATATGATGCATATGGATGTTAAGTCGTATTTAACGCTAGATAATGTGTAGACATTTGTTTCTAAACATGGATTCAGTACTGCGTATATTTACTTACAATGTTTTCATTTTGCATATTTTTACATATTTTGATATTTTTTACTTAATTACCATGTTTGTGCATTTCTGAAGTGTCATATTGATAATTTTTTTAGTCTCCCATTAGAATTTTTCATGTAGATATTTTTTTCAATACGGAGATTAAAAAAATATAAATTTTACGAAAAAAGGTAATTTATGATTACCCAGATTATGTATACGGCGTAGGTATAATAATTAAAGTATGGAATTCGTCTACCCACATTCACACAACATTTTTTTAAATTACAAATAATTAATACACAGCATATAAGAAATTTGTTCATATCTGTTTTTTAATACCTAAAATAATTATATGGTTTGTACAGCATATTTAAGTACAGCATCATCCACGATATACCTAACCAATACACCAACTCGCAACGACATTAAACTTATATAACACAACGAATATACGTTTGTTTGAACACTATAAATTACTAAAATGATTAAAGTACATAATATCAAATGAAGCTTGTGTGCTTAATATATATGCTTTAGTCTCCGGCTAGACTAGACCACCGAATTAGATAAATTAATTAAGAATATTTTTTTACTAAGGAAACGACAGACGATTATCTATTAATTCTTTAACACATAACTTTTTAAGAAAGTCGAATTATTTCAATACTTTTCGGCATTTATTTTGTTTACATCCCAATTTATTATACCTTTAATCGTTCATAAATCATGTAATAAGAAATGTAATGAGTTATGATTTAAAATTCGTAATTAAGTCACTGAAAAGCATAGCTGCACATTGTGTAAGATTGCTTTTAATTGTTTTTGTTGACCTTCTCAGGTCCCGAATAAATCCCGATTCCCAGACAAAACTCGATGTGCATGCACCTTTTCAATCGAGTTGGCTTAGTAGATGTAATTTACCTCACAGTGGTAGTCACACAGCGTCGCAGTATTCATATTATGTAAAATCTAAGTACAAATAGTGAAATTAAACATATTTTATCATTTACGTATAAGTTATATACGTGTCTATAATATTTTACCGACATGATACTCATATATCTTTATTGTTGAACTTTGGTGTTGACCGAACGCATTGTTGAGTTACGTACAATAGTAAACATTCAATTTTGTAATACCCTTGACTTTAAAATCTCAATGCTAATAACCATTTTGTTATGTAACTATAATTATCAGTGTGAAATTATATCTGCAGTATAATAGGATGAAGATGAGACTATTAAAACAAAATTGTATTGATGTAATAAAATAATTTTCCTATTTTCAATATTTGAAAGTCAAAACAAATAATGCAGCTACGCGTTAGTGTGTTTTCAATATTTCAAAAAGATATAATTAAGTGCACAAACGAACAAATAAATAAACAAGTTATCATTTTAGTTTTATCATATTAAAACGTTTTTTTCTATTGTTTAATTAATAATAAAATATTAAAACTAAAATAATTCATCTAAATTTATTTTCAGTTTGTATCATTTAATTCATCATCTTACTTTTAACTGAACCATTGAAGAATAATTTAATTAGATGCTAATTAAATTATAATAACCCGGTCAGCACAATAGTAGCTATACATCAAACTATTAGACTTAAATGTTTCCATTAGACATACGATATATTACATAATTATAATATATATAACTATATACCTAGCCATATAATATATTCTGGTTAAAACATAAAGTAATATTGACGGTGAAGATGATTGTGAAAAGTAGATAAACATTTTCAATGGTACAATAGTTTTAATTGTGAGAACAACAATGATTACTTTCAAAACATTAATTTTTGGTTGAGCAATCCTCTGATAAAATTATAGGACTGACCGCAACATTTGAATGGAATGTCGCCACGGTTAACGACTTGAGTTTTGACAGTGATAACGGGGATTTACATGAACACGTCTATGATAAATAATAGTGATAATTATAATAAAGTTATACAATGCTAATGACCAACGAGTAGGTATGATATATTAACGTCCTTCCAAAGTACATATTCGCCCGTATACACAACAGTAACGAATTCGGAAAGTACAACCCTACAGAGTAGTTTTGTACATATTTTACAGTCGACTAATTATATATTGTACAATTATTACATTTTAATTAGTCATAGTTTGTTTCTTTTATTTTTTGTATTAATCGTTACATTATAATTAATAACAAAACTTAGTTCATAATGTCATGGTACACATACAACCAGTACGTATCTACTTGTGTTATTTTGTCCAAGAGAATAATATGATCTTTTCGCTTAGTCACACGAAGACCTGTTCTCGTGATTTTTTAATACTTATTTAAATGTAAAATTAAAAACAAATTTTTTGAAATTGTTTACATTACAATTGTATTTCTGACAATCTATATTCAATTTATAAATAAGTACAAATATATTATCTCGCATTCTGTGCACAATTTAAGCAGTGTTTCAAACTCAAAATACGAACTAGCCAAATACATTCTATTCGTCAAAGATTCGAGGGCAAAACAATTTTTTCAATTTTTCTGATACTAAATCCAAATAAAATAAAATAAAATAAATAAAGACTACATTTATTTCTTCTTTTGGTTATAATTGTTATAATATAACTGTATATATCTACTAGGTATTC